TTTCACTAGCACCCCCTCTTCCATGCAGCCTATAATAATTTCTCAATTGGCAGTCTAACTGTTAGGATGTGTTTTTAACTCATGTCTTCTGATTGAAAGATTTCTTAATTGATTAAATTTACTGTTGATCATTAGGCTGTGCATATTTTTTTAGCTGTAACTTTTTAGAAAAACTTCAATAACAATTTTTTTCTTGGTTACCTACCTTGGTAATGCACCCACATTTCCATGTGGCATCTACCACAGCTACTGTCACTACTACAGCTGATTTGCTAACCACTTCCATGGCATCTGAGCAAAGTTTATCTGCTCAGGAAGTAACGACTCTGATTCATAAGTAGTTAGCTATTTTTATGCATTCCGACAACTCAACGTTTGTCTCATACAGCTCCAGGCACAGGGATATCCAGTCAAGAGACCCCTGTTTTTGGCGATTGGACCTCCTGTATTGGGCCCATAGACATCAAATTCTTTTTTTTTTTGGCTTATCATATTCCGGGATTTTTCCTATGGAGTGGTCATTGAGCCTGTGGATGTTTTGGGGGCTCTGTGCTCAGTAGGGTATTCCAGAGCTGGATGACTTTGTCACTAATCTCAATTCTCGACTCTCATGGATTTGGTCTCCTGTTCCACATCCTTTGGCTGGTGCAGTGGATGCCCTCAGTCACGATTGGTCAGGTCTATACCTGTATGCCTACCCTCCCATTTGTTTGATTTCCTGGATCATTTCCATCATCCAGATGACTCCGTGTTGGATTCTTTTGGTGGCTCCATATTGTTTGGCTCAGCAGTGATTTCTACTTCTGTGCAGACTACTGGTGTTATCTCTTCTCCTCTTTCCCCTACCCTCCTTCGTCAGCCCCATTCCGGCATGTATCATCATTCAATTCCCACACCCAGGCTTCACATGTGGTTTTTGTATAGTCCCTGGCCTGGCAAGCCAGACTTTCACAGCGTGTGGTATCCTTGATTTCCCATTCTGTACATCCTTCCTCCATGACAGTGTACCAAAGACATTGGTACACATACCATCATTAGTCCATACTTCATGGTCATCCTTCCTCCCATCTGACCCTTCCCCACATCACTTCCTTTCTAACCTGGCTCTTTGACAAGGGCCTTTCAGTCTCCTCCATTGTGGGCTATCATGCAGCTTTCTCAGCCATGTCTTGTTTTACACGTTATGACCGTATCTTCAGTTTGCCAGTCCTGTCCCTTTTGTTCCATTCCCTCTGCATCACCTGTCCTTCTTGTCCTGCCTCTCTCCCAGATTGGAACCTCAATGTCGTGTTTTACATCCTTACTCTTCCTCCTTTTTGAACCCTTGTCAACCTGTTCTTTATATTACCTCTTCTTGAAGACCCCTTTCCTCCTCTTGTTGGACTGCAGATGTCTTCATTCGGATGTGTTCACTATTGATGTCCACCGCACCTGGTTTCACAGTTTCTGTGTGGTCCTTTTCCCAATTCTTCTTTTCTGCCCAAAATGTTTCTCCTGATGATTGTTGTCTTTTCCGTGTATTTTCCCATCAAATTCATCACCTTACCATGTCCCTGGCTGCTCATTCCTATCATCCATTGAAGGACATCATTAGTGACAGTAGGTGGACCACTTCCCATACCTTTACTGCTCATTATCTTCACCATCTTGCCATTTCTTCTTCTACGGGTTTCCGTCTTCCCCCCATCAGCATTTTGCACTCCAAGATGTCTGTTTGAGAGGGTAAATATTCCTTTTTTTTCCTTCATTTACTTTGCAGGGGCCTTTGTCATTGTCATATACTTATTGTTAAATCTAACTTTAAGACCTGTGTGTCATATATGTCCAACATTGAGATGGGGTGTTCTGCAAGACCACTTGTAAGTATGCCTCATGATATTTTGCTTCATAAAGAAGTTCTTCCCGGACCATACACTCATGGACTAACATGAATAAAGCAGACAGGGATCAATGCCAATCCCAGATGATCCATGTATTGTAGGATACAGGATCGTCCTGCTTTTTCAAGATGAAGTACTGTAGTCACTCATTGCGATGTCTCTGGTGGTATATTCCAGTGGACTCTCTAATGTGCTGTGCACCCCTTTTTCTAGTGCAGTATGGGAGTCTTTGCTATTTACCCATTCCTAGCTGCTGGGGTGGTGGCCTATGGAGGCTTCCTCCTTAAATGTGTTCAACCCCACTCAGTTGAGAGTAGGGCGATGGTGTTCTGCCAGTGTAAATGGTGTTGACGCTCATCCTACTGTGGACCTGTTGTACAATTCCAGATGCCATTAGGTGTTGGATGATGCCTTCCACCAACATACAGTTGATTTCACCAGCTGAGGCACCCACCTTCCTACCATCCATCTGGTAGATAGGTGCTGGTTGGAGCTGGACCAGCCACATACATATTCATGTGTGTGTGACCAAATACCTTCCTATTACTGCATACTGGAAGATACATTCCCAATGCCACCTGGTGATGGACTGTAGATGCACCCCCACTTTGCTGTCCACCTTCCTACCATCTCCCAAATGTTGGTTCCCAGTAGATATGGTGATGGTCAGGTTGGTTGTGAACACATGATTATGCTGGGGAGGTCCCTCCGCTGTTTCTGCTCTCATTGTGCCACAATTTCACATGAATGAAGAATATACCTGGCTCAGAACTGGTGCAGTCTCCCATGGGGGTGTTGCCTTCTGTTTATTCACACTCTCCATGGCCTTCCTTTGAGCACTTTCTAAAGAGGGATCATCTTCTCACCTGACTCTCTGCCAACTCAGTGTTGGAGGATTAGTTACTGTATTGGAATTTAACATTTTCCTAAACAGAAAATGTATTTCTGATAGATACTTACTCCTCTTGCGCTTCCCACGCGTATTCCCCACTTCCGGTGTTAGTTTTGTATGTACAGTCCAATCTTAAAGGGATTACAGAGTGCATGAAAGAGAGGGCACTAGTGGCAATAGAAGTTATGTCACACTCCTATTGGCAGAGGGTTGCTGCATGACAGTATGCAGATGTCTTACATGGATACACGTGAGGATAGGTGGGAGTATCAAGGATATTGGAGAGCAAAAATTTGCACATGTAGAAAGCGGTATAAGTGGAGAAAAGCAATTTGTGGGTAGAGGTAAGTATCTATTGGAAATACGTTTTCAGTTTAGGTAAACATTAAAGTTTGCGTATTACAATAAGTGCTTGAGGATAGGTGGGAGTATCAAGGATATTGGAGAGCAAAAATTTGCACATGTAGAAAGCGGTATAAGTGGAGAAAAGCAATTTGTGGGTAGAGGTAAGTATCTATTGGAAATACATTTTCAGTTTAGGTAAACATTAAAGTTTGCGTATTACAATAAGTGCTCTTAATAACTGTTTGATATTAAAATACCATATTTAACAGTGCTTGATACTACAATAAGTACTCTTTTTAATGGTACTTGTTATTCCAATAAATACCTTACTTAACTATTGTTACTAAAATCAGTAATGTATTAGAAATTTAACTAAAAACTTAGAGAAATTTCCTTGATTTGCTTTAGTGTATTCTATCTGTGAATGTTGTTTTGTTTTTACCATTGTAAGTTAATAATTTTTGTATGATATTTTTGTGAAAGTTTTAAGCCTCTCTGTTATTGGATGTTCACATATTTTATTTGATGACTAAAGTTTATTTTGAAGAACAATGTTTCAACCTAAGTTTTGTTATTTCAAGGTTCAGCAACCCTACTACAGAACTGATGATGTAGGAGCTGCTGTTTCATCTTTAAGTCATGGTAAGTTGCGCATATTTCACTGAAAGATCTGCTCACGTTTTAACATTTTGCTTACATCATATAGAATTTTGATAATTGTATCTGAGAACACTTTGTTTATCACCTAAACCTGGATTTCTAAAAGGTTTGAAATATTTTCGTCATCTATTACTTTTATACTTTTATATAAAGTGTGATTATACAGAAGAGTTCAAGTTTAGCATGTCATATCCCACAACATAGGAAGGTAAAACTGTATAGAAGTGTTAAGGATATTATGCAGATGCAAGTGCTGCAGTTACATGTTGCCACGAAATTTGGTTTATTATCTATATTTTGATGACACGTTTGTTCATTTACATTAGTAATAAAGTAGCTTAAATTTTGAATGTAAAAGGTCGTGACATACACACTTGAATCTTCTTGTAGTGACAGGATTAAAAGGTTTAAATTGATGAATGGGTGGGAAGATTTAAAAAACTATAGAAAAGTTAGAGGTTTGAGTAAAAAAAGGGAATTTTAAAATCCAAAAGGGCTTATAAGAAACAGCCGATAATGTTAAAACTAACAGCAAGGATTTTGTTAAGTATATCAAAGGTACACAAAATGTTAAAATGGGGATTGTGCCCTTAAAGGATGTTGATGGAATGATTATTGTTGAACAATATGAGACAGCTATGATTCCAAATATTTCTTCTCTTCTGTGTTTACAGGAGAAGATATCAGAAATGTTCCTGACTTTGAACGTTCTATGGGTAATAGTTAGACTGACCTGAATTGTGTATACATTAATCCCTTGATCATAAGTTAAAAAATTGAAGATTAAAATTAGATAAAGGATCAGAAAAAGACAATATTCTTCCCAGAGCTTTACAAGAGGTAAAAGGTCAAATATGCAAATCTCTTTCTTTCAGCAAGAAGGTGCTTGGAGATTACAAAGTTGCTAATGTTATTAATGATAAGTTACCTTGGATATTGTAGACAAGTTAGTTTTACTTCCATAGAGAAAAATATTCTAGAGAGTGATAAGGGAAGATTTGTAAAATTATCTAGTGAAATATTGCATCATAAAACAAAAAAGAAATCAACACTGACTCACTAAACGGAAATCTTGTCTTTCTAATCTGTTTAGGATGACAAAAAGGAGTGTGGCTTTTCAACAGTTTTTGATAAGGTGTCACAATAAAGATTATCTAAGACAATTACGTGAATGGAGATTGTGGATAAGGCCAGTAAATTTGACTTTAGGATGGTTAGATAAGCGAAAGGAAAACGTTGGTGATTCTGAAGTTCAGTTAGGACACATTTTAGTGGTGGGCTGTCTCAGGGGTCAGAGCTTAGGCCTTTGCTTTTTCTTACTTACATTAACAATATTAATATGAACATAAGTTGTAAATTAATTATGTTTGCTGGGTATTATTACCAGTACTGAGAATGTTAAGGAACAACAGAATGTCTTAAATGAGTTGGTAAGCTGGACAAATATTTGGCAAATGACCTTTAAATATAAGTAACAAAGGTAAAGTAATACATTTTGGTTACCATAATTTTAATCAAACGTTTTTTATAAATGAGAAACTTCAATAGCAAGACTGAAGAAAATGATATTGGCATATTGATAGATAAGACGCTCAAGCAGTAAAGGAAGCAATGACAAACAGGGATTTATAAGTATGATGATGTTTTTTATATTTGCATCCTCAATCCTCAGAATTTTTATAAACTTGTGCACAGCTACACTGAAACAAGACCCTCTGCAGTTGTTATACACTCTACAGTATTAATTGAGAGATGCCTTGGTATTACATTCTTTTCATACATACATTTCATCAGCTTACTTATGTACACACTTGTTAGTTTCATTTTAACTGAATGATAGGCCTATTTATAGCCATGGGAGATACGTGAAACAAATGACAGTGGCAACCCTAATATAATATAAGTTTTAAGTTCTAAATTTTAAAAGGAAATATTGAAATAAATCCCCAATCTCCCCTTGTATGAAAAGCATTTCATTTGTTCTCTAGTTCTCACCCATCTCTAATTTATTTACCACCCCTTTCTCAAGTATGGAGTTTAATGTAAGTTACTTATTATAATATAGGTATTACTAAGACAAAATGTGATTTTTATGGCTTTCAATCTTCATTGCTTATACAGAGATAACCTGTCGCATTCTTTTTTTTCACAAATTGTAAGTAATTCTCTCTGACATCATTTTATTTTATATAATTTTTAACCAATAGGAAAGACAGAGTTTTAATCTATCAAATGATGTACAATATTATGTTGTTTTCACTACAGAGTATTGTCTATTTCATCTTCAGTTTGAATGTTTTTCTTATGTTGGTCGTATCGACAAGCTTAAGGTAAGATTTAAAGACTCTTATGCCATAGTTAGAAAGCCAGATAAATTATGATAGTTACAGGACACTGTTTGCTTTGTGCATGTTATTATTCTGTGTTCTTAGGTGCATTCTTTAAATAAGTAAAATATATTTAATGTACTAGTATCATTGTTACAAAAAAGTAGGCTTAAATTTCATGGGTAACCAACAGCTCAAAAGGTAAGATGTCAATTGTAAATATATTAAACACTATACTTAACTATATTTAACACTATACTTCTTGTTTATCATGTATATTTTTTATTTAATGTTATAAAAGTAATTAAAATGTAAAAATTAGGAACTCACTAGACCACCATGACTCATTGGGTCAACCATTATTCAGAGGTTATGAAGAATTCAATCCTATTTCAATATTGCACCAAAATGAAGGTTTATTTGAGATAATTTAATTAAATATTTCAATCCATTCGTGTTATTCATA